AATATGGCGAGCAAGCCACGTGTCGTTCACATTAATGCCAGCAGTTCGCTTGGTTATTCGTACTTGCTATTTGTAAACTCGACTACAGTCTATCTTAATCATGTTCTACAAGGAATGAAAGGGACAGACTGATTTCATGTTTATAAATGGTGTCAATTCTGACACTGTTCTCTAAACCTAAACTTAAATTTGACAACAATGCATCTTTGTCATTGTCTATGCAGAATAAAAAGGAGAGACTGATTAAATAAAACTAGTTTTAACGGGTTAATGCACGAAACTTTATTTATTTATTGACGTCTCGCAGCCTTTTAAGGTCTGCATCGTCAGAATAATGATTCTTTATTTAATTTTGTCGAGCTACCTTCGAAAGACTCTTATTGAGCGATCGGTTATTTCATTAGAAGATTTTTAAAATTTTATTGTCTATGTATGAACTTATTAGTTAATAAAGTACTTTATTTAAAATTCTTTTTTGTAATTTTGAGTTTATTTTTGACCCTGAAAGACTGATGTTAAATTTAGTTTTAAGACTACAGAATCATGTCAGAATCGACACCAATAGCAACCACGAATATCCAAGTGAATTGCCAGCATACGATATTAACAAGCTCAGCATAGGACGAAATTCACAAAGGCCAACCTAACATCGGAGTTGCAGAGTTCCCACTATGACATACGTTTCGTATTTGAAGCTCAGTGCTGAATAAACATATTTGGGCGCACACGCTTTTCAATCATAAACATACAACTAACAAGGGCGGCAACTAACTAGGACACGTACAAAATTTGTAAGTGCAGTGCCAATTGAGAGCCGTTCCAATTTCACGCACGTTTCCGTATTTTTGTCACTCCCTCCCTGTAAGATTTATTGTTATACACCCCGGCAAATATCTTGAGCAACGACCATAGAGAAGGAAGCCTGCTGCATGCGCAGTAGCAATTTACATACAAAAATTTAAAATGCGCAAATAGGATATTTGACATTTTTAGAAAACGATTTCACGTTATTGACTAATGTTTATGGAGTCCGTAACAAGTGGATATTCATTATTCTGTTGCGTATTTCAGTAAAAATAACCAAATCAAAAACTCCATTTTCAAGTTGCCGCGAAAACTTTTCTCTGGACAACATGGCGTCTTACTAGTGTGTGACGTCACACGACTGTTATTAAAACGTACAACGATACAGTGTAATGTCACTTTTACGTTTACTTGCGTGAGACGTCATTTTAGGCTCCGCCAATCCCAAGCGTTTTGGGTCACGTGACAATAGATAAGAAAACTATTATCTTTTTCGTGGGTTTTTAGTAAAATTATGAATATTTTTTTTGTAAAAATAATGAAAACCCCTGCCAATAATAATTCTAAACACAGATGCTAACAATTGTCACTTTATTTTTAATACTGTCAAATACCCTATTTGTCTGTGGTTTTGCTTGAGAAGTTTGCCGCGACATAAACGTACAGTCGACCGTTTGTTTGACAGAGGTATCACTGCGCATGTTTATTTGTCTGACGTGGCATCTACTTCACAAATCATCATTGCTGCAAGATTACAAAAGTTGAAATAAGACACTGTTGTTACTTGAAAGGTCCTTATTACACAATTCCCAAAAAAGATGAATTTATTTTGCATGCTTAAAGCATTTTTATGTTCTTAGGATTCATGTATTTTTTAAGTTTTACTGCACCAAGTACTTACTAATTACTAAATAAACGTATTGCAAATTTTGATGATGGTGATTTTATTATTCTTGTTTATTATTTGTATTAGCTTTGGCTCTGAAGCCAAAATACAGGTGCATTTCCTGGTTTATTGTTGGCATTGTTATATGCCTATGTATAAATAGTCTCATAAAAATATTACCATATAAGTACGTGTACTCTTTTTGCTAAATAAATTATTATTATAGTATCATAGTCGCAATATTACAAAAGTTGCAAAAAGACTTATTTTAAAGTTGAAGGGTTCTTAATTTTACGTTGGGGTAAGATCACTATAAATGTTTGACTTTGTTTCACTACTTATTTTTTGTAAGGGCTATTACCCCTCTAGCATGACCACCGAAACGGGATATGATAAAGCGATATATCGGCATTAACTGTCAGACTACTATCAAACTCCACTGTAGTGTGACAGTTAATGCCGATATAATATCGCTTTATCATATCCCGTTTCGGTGGTCATGCTAGAGGGGCTGGTATCGTTAGTGGCGTATATTATAGTACGTATTATTATTTCAAATTGCTTGCAAAGTAACAAATAAGACAGGGATGGAGATGTTGAAAAATACCGAAACGCGCACGCATTGGGTATGCACGGTTGGCTAGCTAGCTATATAATAGCTATATTCGTAGACGGACCTGACTGGAAGGCAGGCTCTCGGAGGAGGGCGGCGCGCGGTACAGCGCATGCGCCGGGGACATCGACGCCGGCGCCTACGCGGAAACAATCCCGGGTACATTCCAATAATCACATTCGAACTTAATGGCGGCTGTGACAGGATTTATTTGCTCTAGGACTATGGCCCGGCGTGGTAGGTTGGCGATAAGTGTCGCTGGCGCCTCTTTTCATAGTCAGACATAAAAAATCAGTTTTTGGCGGGATTTCATCGAGTGCAGTTGGCGTCATATTTTAAATATTCTTTAAATTCGTTCATGGTGGATATTGGCAAATAAAATTGGTGTGATTTTGTGTTGCAATCGTCTGCGCATCTGAAGAATTAACGGAATCTTTAAAATATTCGCTATGTCGGTCAAGTGGATGTGAGAACTTTCCAGTGTTGACTACCTCACAGAAACTTATCGAGAAAGCTGACTCGATATACTTCGTGTCAAACACTTCAAGAAACATTAGAATGCGTCACACCCACATTTTAACGTAAAAAAGGAAAATATATAGAAAAATAAGACGATGGCTCCATGGCTTTGAATTTCCCTTTCCCAATAGGAAAATAATGGAACTAAAAAAAATGTGTGTACGGACCGGACGCAACCGAAGTGAAACTTCTTTTCTTAAATAACCTTACACTAGGCGATGCGAAAGGCAATGGGGTGATGGAGCAGCGTATCAATCATATATACATATATATATTGTCGTGTGTGACGCTCGTAGCGTTTCTGCCTTCGCCGAGTTACCCTCCAACTTCTTCTCCGAAACGAAGTTTCACTTCAAAAAAGGGATAGGCGGGGCCGCCAAATTTTTAAATTCAACGCTGGACTGTGAAGTTAGCTCAGTAAATTGTAAGCAAACGTGAGAACCCCTATTAGGAACCGAATACAAGGGCACCCGCTTGTGCCAAGCTTAAGTAATGGCGTATAAGCGGTAGACACCCCAAACAATTTTACAATTATTTTGACATCGGACCGTGACGTCACGGTCGTGCGTTTATCTTCGTTGGACTAAAACCTGCGCATAGAGCCGTTCGAAGCTCACTTCACAACCGCCATGAAGTTTAAATGGTATTATATACAAGGCATGCTTCCTCCAATAAATACCCCATACGTATACCGCACCGTTACACTTTACGCCATTAGTTATACAGTGATAAAAATATACACATAATATAAGTCTATTTAACTTCTGACAATAATAAAACTAAGTTTGGTTCAATAATACAAATCGCTTACGTATAACGCCTTCGACACGACCCTATCTTTATAATACAAACGAATGAAGAAAGAATATCACACAAATGATCCCGCAGAAATTACCTATTTTGTCTGTGGTTTACTGTTTAAGGTATAACGCGATTCAACTAAGAATAGGACCGACTGGGCGCCATATTTCGACGTCATTGCTGTGTGAGTGCGAGTGAGCTATTTAATAAAACTTATTTACTAAGATTAAGTGAGAAAAAACATGAGATTTTTAATAAAATTTATTTACGAAGATTGAGAAAAAAAACAATCGATTTTTAATAATATTTCTTTATTAAGATTGTGTGAGAAAAAACATTGATCACAATCTAGCTCTTCAATTCCGCTTATCTCTGCATTACCGCCGGAGTAGTTATGAATAATCATGCAGGCCACATACGAACATGCATCCTTTAAGTAAACGAAAGTTTTAAACCGAGTTTCTGAACGCAACATAAAGTGACATTTGGTTGACGATTTAGGTTATCAACCATCCATAGCCAAAGCTCAATAAATGGAAAAAAATATCAACCAATATTAATTATCAATATTTGTTATTGTTTGTTTAAAAATGTTTGGTTTTCAATCTAGAATTAGCTGGGTGCTAAAAAAGTGTTCCGAGACATTTTGCAAACCGTACTTTTCATGCGACTTTTGACAGATGGAGGTCATTGGCTTTCCTATTCTTATTTGAATCGCATTATAGATATTGACCTGTTTTCTATACCTCTACCTCGAACCAATATCGAATTCGAATAGTTTGCGAGTGCGAAATGTTATTGTCAAATTTTGTATGGACACTTGAACAGCGGCGTCACAACGGACGTAACGAGAGCTAAAAAATCAGTACACATTTCGACAATGACATTTCGCACTCGCAAACTATTCGATTCGATTCTGCCTGATAGTACAACAGAGATGTAAAACCACAGTATTTTTGACGTGACAACGTCTTAAATTAGGTTGCGGCTGGGAGTCACTTATGAAAAAGTGTAACGCTCGGTAACGTTACGATGAGTCTCTCGTGTTAAGTTTAAGTTTACATGTACAATGTTTTAGTAAACAAAATATATTTCTATAGTTAAAATTTGTGCAATTCTTATTTTCATTCAATTCCTTGTTCCTATTGTGCAATTTAATTATATTCATATCAATAAATATTCTACCGAGAAAAAGACGTTGTCACGTAAAATCTTCGCCCGTAAAACCGACTTTACAGGCAACCATTTTTTTTTATTTTAATCTGATGTAAAATTAGTTTCAAGTTAATAAATATTTTAACAATAAACACGTATTTAATAGACTACGTAACATTTATACGGTAATATTTAAGAGATGTAAGGCGGTTCGGTTCTTACCGTGTGATACTTGTGATGATGCGCACGCGGCGGCGACGCCGGAGCTAAAGCATTCATGTGTTCGTAGCTGCCCACCTGTGGGAAGATAAAATTATTGAAGTTATACTTCTTTAGGCGCGTTATGAAAAAATGATGAGAGTGAAATTTTAAGATGCGCGCGCATCACTGTAACACAAAATTTTAACAGCATGTAGTTGGTCGCTTTAGCCAACTTCATGCGTTACTTTTGTGTTTACCGCACATTAAGAAAATCTACCAATAAATTAGAAATAGAATCTCTATTTAGTGGGTGCTAACGACTGCATTGTTAAGGCCTATCAAAAGTATTTATTAATCTGGAACAACGGAACCAAAGCGCGATTCAGGAGACTACAGCGCAATCTCTTGACCATTGGTGTAGTATTTTTTGTAATAAAGTAACAGTTATAGGTATTCATATTTATAATATTTATCCACATGTTTCTAGTTTGTATATTCGGAATACGTGTTTGAGTTTCATACAAGTGCAAATCACATATGTTCTAATAAATTATATTCAGTAGCGATTTTAACTGAATATTTTGATTATTTATTTATTTTTTCAAATTAAAACTGAACTTTATTGACTGTGTCCTTTTCCAGACTTTTTATTAATTTATTGTAATTAATTATTTGCATGCAATTAAAAACTAATTTTAAACGATGCCAAAGAAGGATAACTTCTCACGCGCCTACATAAGTACACGCACCCATTTTTGATATATTTAAATCTAAAGAAAAGTTTACTAGAAAAAATTCCACGCGGACCAGGCAGCGGACGGGACTCGAACCCGCATCCTTCGCAATCCATTCGCCCGGATGACTCGATTCGCACTGACCATTATGCTACCACGGCCCTATTAGCCGCGTCGAAATTTTCCTAGCCTTAAGCTGCAAGGCAGCGCCATCTCTTCGCATTGTAGGTAACCCACAATGTCAAATGAATACTTTTTCAAGTATTAAACATTTGAAAGAAGAAATAGCAATTATAGTTATGATTTTATTTATCACAGCTCAGTGCATTCGCCCGGATTGCGAAGGATGCGGGTTCGAGTCCCGTCCGCTGCCTGGTCCACGTGAATTTTTTCTAGTAAACTTTTCTTTAGATTTAAACATCTAGCAGTTCAATGCTTAAAAATAAATAAAATCATAACTATTGATATTTTTTTAATATATTTAAAAACATGCTATGTGCTATCCGATGTCCGATGTGCTATGGATGATGTTTTCATTAAGCATTCAGATTATAACATGAGAATGCTAATACAGTAATTACAAGCAACAAGAGGCGATGACGGCCACTTTTCATCAGGAAAGAATGACCCTGGACTCGAGCTCCTCAGCCCTGGCTTCAGTAATCTGCTTATATCCTGGATCAGTCGTATCCGAGTTTTGTTGGTGTCTGCGCCCGCAGCATCAGCGCTAGAATATACTGAACTTGAACTCGAGCTCCTCAGCCCTGGCTTCAGTGGTCTGCTTATATCCTGGATCAGTCGTATCTGGGTGTTGATAGCATCTGTCCCTGCAGCATTAGCGCTAGAATATACTGACCCTGGACTCAAGCTCCTCAGCCCTGGCCTCAGTGGTTTGCTTATATCCTGGATCAGTCGTATCTGAGTCTTGTTGGTGTCTGTGCCCGCAGCATCAGCGCTAGTATATACTGACCTTGGACTCGAGCTCCTCAGCCCTGGCCTCAGTGGTCTGCTTATATCCTGGATCAGTAGTATCCGAGTCTTGTTGGTGTCTGTGCCCGCAGCATCAGCGCTAGAATATACTGACCCTGGACTCGAGCTCCTCAGCCCTGGCCTCAGTGGTCTGCTTCTCCTCCTGGATGAGCCGTATCTCGGTGTTGATGGCGTCGAGTTGTTCTTGCAGCATCAGAGCTAAAGCAGCTGCGTCTGTATGACCCCCTTCTACACCACCGTCGGATTCGTCGTTCTGTAGTAAAAATAACCAAAAATTACACAAAGATATCCGACATGGCAACGTAGCCATGACAATATTTCCCGATTGTGATTTGAAACTAAACATTAAGACAAAGATAACTGGAAAACGTAGTCGTGTGTGTTGTTGGAAGTGAAACTTCTTTTCGGACAGGGTGTAAATGGAATAATCATATGGAAAAGATGAAACGTAAATGCGTCACAAGCGTCACACGACGAAGTGTGTATGTATATGTGTGTGGGATGCGTGCGCAGCTCTTCCCGACGAGCATGAAAGTTGGAGGGTATCTCGGCGAAAGCTGAAACACTACGAGTGTCACACGCGACTATATATAAGGTGAAATAGAATGTTTAAATGAAACTTCGTGGAATTGTTGGGTTACGTGTATAAAGTATGCCTGACTTTTTTAATCCAATCCGCTCCGATCTCCGAATCCGATTTGCTCTGTATGATTTTACCCAATTTTAAATAAGCCGTTTGCTCTAAGTTTTAATTAAACAAAGCGACTAACATTTATAATAAAAAAGAAGTTGATACACTAACAGACAGGCTTTACCGATTTAAAATCGTGACAGTCATATTAACTTTATAGGATTTTTAATTGCTCTAACAGAAGATTTATTTTATTGATTAATTACCTGTGCTTTATGAAATAATATTCAAAGGTATTGTGTATCAGTGAATAAATAATTATAATATAGCATCTGAGACTATTTTATTGTAATGTTTTTAAATAGTGTGTAGTAAGGTACCAACACAGGCGGCCGCCGGTCGTTGCTCATGGTATTCATTATTTTTCCGTTTTTTTAGGTGTGCTTACTTTTAGTTGTTTTACAACTTCTATGTAGACGTGTATAAAATGAATAATTACTCATAAGGAAGAAATTACAAAAAAATAATCAAATAAAAAACGAAAAAACTAATTTCAAAGATTCCGAAAAAATCAGGCATACTCTATACACGTAACACAACAATCTCACGAAGCGAAACAATCAATTTCACCCTATTTATATACATATATATGAGTGATGCGTACGCTGCTCCATTCCCCTATGCCTTATGCACCGGCTAATGTTAGGTTATTTAAGAAAAGAAGTTTCACTTCAGATATGTGGTCCTTAAAAATATAGTATACGTTTGTAACCAAACTATAGCGCAATCTATCGGATTCTGTTATGAATCTAATCCATCCAGGGGCATACTCGAAAGCATACAAACAAAAATATAAAAATCAACCAAGAGCTTTACGAAGATCTCTCATTCAAATCGAACTTCACTTAGTAAGGTCGTTTGATCAAAAAAAATAAAGCATAATAAATAAATTATGATATGCTAAAAAAGTTAAAAGAAAATTTAACTAGAAAATAATCCTCTCGGTTCAGGCATCAGACTGGATTCAAACCTGCACCCTCCGCTATCCGGGCGGACGCACTAACCAATTATGTTACCTAGACCTTATAGTGAACGTGACAAATTACTTCTAGTATATCTCAGGCATTTCCTTCGCGTTGTAGGTAACCCACATGGCGGAAGATGTGGGTTCGAATCCTAGTATTATGTTTTTAAAACAATTTCACTTAATGATAACTTGCAAACCAGTTGTAAGAACTTAGTAATAAGTAGAATAAATACTGTTAAAATAATAAGGATCGGAGTTCTAAGTGAAAATATGAGGGTAGTCACCTCAGCGTCGCTGGATACGTCGAACTGTTGCTGAACATTGGCCAAAACGTGCGCCTGTTGCAGCTTCTCCCACGATCCGTCCAACTGCAAACCAATTTCATAGTTTCATTTCATAGTTTCACACTCAAAATCATCAACACTAGCCTATTCATGTCCCCACTGCTGGGGCACAGGCCTTCGCTATGGATGAAATAGGGAGATTGGGCTCTGACCCACCACGCGGGCCCAGTGCAGATATCTAGGTGGGTGTTAATGACTGCAGATGCAGCCGGGACCAACGGCTTAACGTGCCTTCCGAAGCACGGAGGAGCCCGAGATAAAAAATAATTAGCATTCCCATCGAGAACATAAATAAAATAGTGGAAAATAAATTAATTTCATCTCCTTTTTGCATGTTTTTGGCGCGCAAATATACATTTGCGGTACCTTTCTATTTTGATCTATATCTGTGTTTATTCGTTTCTTATCGACTTTTATTAGTTTACTATAGGTATCAAATGTTGAACTATAATCTATATAGATATGTATTTTTATATAAATACAGGGTGAAATTGAATGTTTTAATGAAACTTCGTGGGAATGTTGGGTTACGTATATAGAGTATCTCTGAATTTTTTTGGATTTTTTAAAAAAATATTTGAAATAAAATTTTGTTTTTTTTTTGTTCTATTTAAGTCCTTTCCTCCTTTTGGGTACTAAATAATTATTCTTTTAAAACATGCATACAGAGTAAGTAAAAAACAAGTAATAAGCACTACTAAAAAAGACGTAAAAACAGGAGACGGGCGGCCGGGAGCAATGACCGCTCCCTTGTTGAATACCTTCCTGCCTACCTATCTAGGTATGCGCGGTGCACAGCGCAGTGAGCGAGCGGAGTCTCAAGCGCGCGTGCGTATCTTTTAAATTTGTGACAAGACAAGATTTGCAAATAATGCCTTGATTAGTTCTTGTTCTGTGCCCTCAATATAAGAATTTGGATATGGTGTGTTGTTATTGCGAGTGTCACGGAATACTCAGCAGAGCCACAAGGCTTTACGAAAGTAGGTTTGGTGATTTATTGGGAAGTTATAGAGAACAAAATTAATAGGTACATCGGTCTCGTAAGTACTTTTGAATAAATTTCATTCTGACCCAAGTATTGAACTGCAATAAGTATTTCTTTTTGTTTAACTTTTGCCTATTTCCAATCGTGACAAAATTATTATTAACTTTTTAAGTTTTTCTCTGCTTAAGAGAAGATGACATTTGTGCTTATTATTTCAATTTCAATAAAGGCATCTGAGACGATTTTATTGTATTGTGTGGAATCAAACAAGTCAACTGAGCTCTGTGTACGTACCTACTCACTCAACGGCTGGCGGGCGCGGTCGGTCGTTGACCCGCGGTGGAATTTTACTGTTTTTCCGTTTTTTAGAAGTGCTTATTTATTAGTTGTTTTTTACTGGATATGTAAGCATGTTTGTTTAATATGAATAACTACTCAAAAGAAGAAAGGACATAAAAATACACAAATTATAAATAAATACATGAAAAAAAATACTTCAAAAAAATCCGAAAAAAATCAGGCATACTCTATACTCGTAACCCAACAATCTCACGAAGTTTCATTAAAACATTCAATTTCACCCTATATACTTACTTAAATCAGTATATGTATTCTATCCGTTACCCTTGTTTCCCATATCACAAGCCTATATGCTTACTTTGGGGCTAGGCTAAATGGTGTGTGAGTGTTGGAAATATTTATCATCATCATCATCATCATCATCATCATCATCAGCCTATTAATGTCCCCACTGCTGGGGCACAGGCCTTCCCTATGGATGGAATAGGGAGATTGGGCCATGACCCACCACCCGCGTTCGGCTGCGATCGTTGAAGTTAAGCAACTTTCGCAGTGGTCGGTCATTGGATGGGTGACCGAAAATTTACTATCTCGAGCTCCTCCGTGCTTCGGAAGGCACGTTAGGCCGTTGGTCCCGGCTGCATCTGCAGTCGTTAGCACCCACCAATCAAATATTTATATATTACATTAATATTAAACATTACCTTTGGCTGATATAACGCGGAGGGAGTGCGAGGCGCATGCGCAGGCGATAAAGATCTCGTCAGCGCGTCCGTCTGCTGGATGTTAAACGCTATCTCCTGTTCTAACATCTGGCGTTTCAACTGCAACGATATCATTGACATCTATTATACCTAACTAGCAAACCAGTGAACCAAATGTTCACCAATTAAAAAAAAAATGTATTTAATTAATTGAGAACTTCGGAGATTTTGTGTGGTTTCATTTGAAATTCGTGATTTCTCGAAAACCGGAAGTACTACGTTACTCAAATCCGGTTTGTAGTCTTATCAGACTATTCTTAACTTATAACTTAAACATTCTCTTTATTTATCTCTTACGGTTTGGCCGCTGAAACAGCACCACAGACGGACGGACGGACTTGTCTAATAGATAAGAGATATTGAATTATTTATTACCTAATAGAACAATGTTTGTATGTGAGTGGACGTTGTATTGGTGGCGACATTCTTTTTTGTTGTAAAAGTTACTACCTCTGTTAAACACTGGTGAGTTTCCTACGCCCATTCTTCTCATCAGCTAAAAGATGTTGTTAATATGTGATAAGAAAAAATATGGGACGTTTCAAAAGAGCTTTGAATAAGTCAATTTGAATAAGATATAATTTCATTTCATTTCATCAGCATCGTCTATCTTACAGTGCAACAAGGACCTTTATGAATGTTTGTGACAGTTTAAGGGGGGAAGGGGGCGCCACTGTCTACGTTAATGACGTTAACAAAGACGGCGGCTTTAGTTCCAATTTTCACCATATTCATAAAGATCCTTGTCCGACTATATAACCGTCGTCTCAATAGCAACACATATCTCCAAATCGTTTCTTTTTTATTGATATTTTAGAAAAAATATTAATTATTTGTTCTCCACGAATAATAAAATTACTGCTCATATTCATATTAAATACAGATACCAACAATTATTACTTTATTTTTCATACTATCAAATATCCTATTAAATAAAATTTGCCAATAATCCACCTGTTCAGTCTCCATGCGCCATTTGGCGAGCTCTTTCAATATGTCTTGTTTCTCCGCCATCAGTTCGTCGGCGTATTTGCGAGTCTTGTCCAACTCCTGAGTCAACGCGTTCTTCTCGTCCAACGAGTGCATCCGCTCTTTTAGGTGGACTTGCAGTCTGTAAGATGAAAAGGGAATCAACACTCATTATATTTAGTTAGATTCTAGGGCATTGGCATTAACACTCGTTATATTTAGTTAGGTTCTAGGGTATTGGCGTCAACACTCGTTATATTTAGTTAGGTTCTAGGGTATTTTTAAAATAACATTATTGGGTCATTCAAGACAAATTATATCGAGTTGACGATAAAAAAAACAGACGGGAATATCGAATTCATTTTAAGCTATGTTAATTGATAGATTTTCGCATGCGGCCCAGGGTATACCTTAGCATAGAGAAAGTTTTCTTTCAATACCTCTATTTATTAATAAATTTTGTCGTCTTTTGTTTAGCACATCTTTACTTGCGTAAGTAGTGATATATTTAAAAAAATATAGTAATATTTATTGCTCCCTCCTCCAAAAACACTTTTCCTTTCGCGTAAAAGCTTAATAATTTAATATAAACAAAACCACTTGTAAAAATACTAGAATTTTAAGCCTTCCCCCAGAACCCCCCCTATTTTACCACCGCAGATACTAGGTCTCACTCACCAGTGGTCGGACGGATGCTAGGGCTCACTCACCGGTGGTTGGACGAGTGCTGGTTCTCACCCACCGGTCGTTAGACGAGTGCTAGGGCTCACTCACCGGTGGTTGGACAAGTGCTGGTTCTCACTCACCGGTGATTGGACGAGTGCTAGGGCTCACTCACCGGTGGTTGGACAAGTGCTGGTTCTCACTCACCGGTGATTGGACGAGTGCTAGGGCTCACTCACCGGTGGTTAGACGAGTGCTGGTTCTCACTCACCGGTGATTGGACGAGTGCTAGGGCTCACTCACCGATCGTTGGATTCCGACAGCAGTTTGTCGACGGTGGCAGACAGCCTCGTGTTGTGTTCTTCGTTCATCCGCAGGCGTTGGTTGAGCCGCATCAGCTCCGCGTTCTTGTCGTCGACGCTGGCCTCGAGTCGAGCGATGCGCTCCTCCGCGGAGCCGTGTCTCTCCTGCGCCTGCCCACAGTGCTTGGGTCAACAGTCATTTGGTCGCCTCCACAAGGAGATCGATTCATTTAAAACTTTTCCACCTTATTCCAAAACGCGGACTAAAGTTAGTCTTGCTTCCAATAGCATGGTCACCGCGATATGATATATAACGCGCTTTTATCACGCTCAATAGGGTATTTGACAATTTTTAGAAAACGATCTCACGTTATTGACTAATGTTTGTGGAGAACGTAAAAAGTGGATATTCATCATTCTGTTGTGTATTTCAGTAAAAATAACCAAATCAAAAACTCCATTTTTAAGTTGCCGCGAAAACGTATCTCTGGACAATATGGCGTCTTACTAGTGTGTGACGTCACACGACTGTTATTAAAACGTCAAACGATACAATGTAATGTCACGTTAACCGGAAGTTTACTTGCGTGTGACGTCATTTTAGGCTCCGCCAATCCCAAGCGTTTTGAGTCACGTGACAATAGATAAGAAAACTATTATCTTTTTCGTGGGTTTTTTAGTAAAATTATGAATATTTTTTTTGTAAAAATAGTAAAATTCCTCTGCCAATATTCATTCTAAACACAGATGCTAACCATTGGCACTTTATTTTTAATACTGTCAAATACCCTATTGTCAAATTACTATGGGGTTTGACAGAGACATGATAAAAAAACGTTATATAATGTAAATTGTGCTCATGCTACAGGGATTGGTTTAAATATAATGTTGTCTCCGTCTTCTATTTAGAAAAAGTGACAGCATCATTATTTTAGTCTAGCCCCTCTAGCATGACCACCGAAACGGGATGTGATAAAGCGATATATAGGCATTAACTGTCAGACTACAGTGGAGTTTGACAGTAGTCTGACAGTTAATGTCGATATCTCGCTTTGTCATATCCCGCTTCGGTGGTCATGCTAGAGGGGCAGGTTCAACTTTAGTCTACGTTTTGTGATAAGGCGGTTTATATTTTAACTAGATTGTTGCTAGAACATATTTATCTGATGACCTCCGTGCACCGGTATTAAAGTGTCACCTATTCAAGAGGTACCGGGTTCAAATCCCGGTAGGGTAAATGTTTATAAAATGAATACGAACAATAATACCAAAGTCATGGATGTTCAGACATATTTCTAAAGAAATAAACAATGGTGTCGATTCTCGCAGGATTCTCTAAACTTAAAACTAAATTTAACATCAACCTGTCCTGTTTACTCTGTATAGAGATGACAAGGATACACTGTTGTCAAATTTAAGTTTAGGTTTAGAGAATCATACCGGAATGGACACCATTATATGTATTTCTATCCGTTACCCTAGTATCTAATAACATAAAAAATAACACAAGGGGCGTAAGGCAAAGTCAGCGGCTGTGCCGCCGGCACTGTATGTAGGAGACATAATGGGTGCCATAGACGTTCAAGAAATTCATTTAAACAGGCTGTTTGAAACAGTTTGATCAAATAGAAATTCAAAAATTCATATTTTTCATGCGAATCAATGTCTCCGTTTGATCAAAAAATTTCCACACATATTCACACCAGTTTGATAAAACTGTTTAAATTAGTTATTACTTAGACGTCTTTAGCGGCCATAAATATTTAACGATATTATTTCGATGCACTCCAAAAACCTGTTTCACCACTAATATTAGTACCTATATGTGTCTATATTCTAACTATTGTTAATTTCCAGTTATTTTCACAAAAAAATGGATCATGGCCAAATGGTGATATGCTCAAAGCATGATTCCCATCGTGGGATAATGATACAAGCTGTACCTTGATATCTCCACGCAGTAAATTCAATATAACCTTAAAATTTCTATCTGTGCTATGATCTGTAACATAGTAAATTCAAGCATATTCCACCAATAAGTAAAAGTGCATTCGCCCGGATTGCGAAGGGTGCGGGTTCGAGTCCCGTCCGCTGCCTGGTCTGTATTTTTTTCTAGTAAATTTTTCTTTAGATTTAAACATCTAGCAGTTAAATGCTTAAAAATAACTAAACAGTTTGATTTTCGATATTTATCTTCAACTCTTTCTTTTAATGTACTCTGTCCCAGTCGTAAGATATAAAAAATTTAACATGGATTACATACAAGCCGCCTTATTAAAAAACGTAGTAAAGCTAAACCTGGACTAAAGCTGTTGCTGTCACTTTTATTTGCTATAAAGAAGACAGAGACAACTCTAGGTTTAAACCACGACTAACTTTCGCGTTTTGGAATAAGGCGGATAGTGCCAGTTGGTTTTCAACTAGGATTCAAATATGGTCTATGGCCGTATAATGTTTAAAGTACAATTTAAACAGACAATAATACAGTTTGTAGAAATCGAAAAAGTCTAAAATTTCTTGTGGCCGGCCTGCAGTAGAAGATACTACAAAGATTGTCAGAATGTATCTTGAAATTATATTTAAAGCTCGAAAGTTAGGCTGAGAACTAACGGAGCAATTTTCACCCGCATCCACCGCAGTGGCGGGACCGCAACTTGAGTAGAATTTGTAAACTCAATAGGGCATTTGACATTTTTTTTTAAATGAACTTACGTTATTTTTTGGTATTTGTGGACTCCATAATAAGTGTCTATTTATCATCTTGTTGAGTATTTTAGCAAAAAAAAACAAAATCGAAAATTCTACTTTCAGTTATGCCGCTGAAACGTTTCTCTGCGAAATGAGGCATGTTTACCTGTGTGTGACGTCACACGGCTGTCATTTAAAAGTCAAGCGGTACAACTAATGTTACTTTGACCGGAAGTTTATACGTCTGTGTGGTTAATTTAGGCTCCGCCAATCACAGCCGTTTTTGGTCACGTGACAATAAATAAATAAAACTAATATCTTTTTCGTGGTTTTTAGTGAAATTATGAATATTTTATCTATTAAAAATAATAAAAACCTCTGTCAACATTCATTCTTACTACAGATGCGAACAATTGGCACTTTATTTTTAATACTGTCAAATACCATATTGCAAATTTTACGCCGCGATTCACGTCCGCCGAGCCAAACAACCGCGTCGTTTGTGGCACCCGCTGCGGGCTTCGTACGATTCTATTTTGTATTAGCTAAGATTAAAACAAAAAAAGAAGATACGGCACTCGCAACTCAAACGTGACTTAAATTGTGGTGCGTGACCACAATTCGTTTTAGTCACAATTGGACATCCAAACACGATGCATTTGCATCAATATAACAATATTGCATATATTCTGTGTTATAAAGATAAAACAATGTCTTCGGTGTTTTTATGAAGAAAACAAATAGTTCAAAATCAAATACCAAATGCCTCGGCAACACTTTTCATTCGTAAAACTGTGAAAACATTTTTGAAGTGAAAACTTCTTTAGCGGCGTTGTACACCTTTTTTTGTATGGGTAAAAAAATTTAAACTCGCGTCAGGTTAAACACGTGGGCTGATCGCATCATGACACAATAAAATTGGAAAGGTTGTTGTCTTTCAATATATTGGACGAAATAAGTCTCAATCTAGGACGTCCACGTGGCATCTTTATTGCGGAGAAAATGCATTTTTTTACAATAGATGTCGCTAGGTGCGCTTAAATGTGATTCATGTAAGTTGATTTCTTTACAACAAATGTCGCTAAGTGCGCTTAAACGTGATTCATGTAAGTTGATTTTTCTGAGATAAACTTTTTTAATGTAATATAAATTGTCATGTTTGTGTACGGTAGCGCAATATATAAATATTGTATTCTACCACATACATACTACTATACTGATACTATACATACTACTATACTGGTACTTCTATACTGATAATTAACGCAATTCGTGCAAAATTATTCCCTAACCATTCCAAAATATCAAAAATGCACAACGTTAATATTCAAGTTTTCACTTCTGCCGGCACTCCCCGAGTGCAACCCATTGTTTTTTTTCTCTTAAATATCACGGTTTGTCGTGAATGTTATTTACGTAATCGCCATTTTGTTATCAAGAAAAGGACAACAAAACAGCTCAGCCGTACGGACTCGGACGCAGACTCGCCGTTTCGCTCGCGCGGCGTTGAAGCGTACAGTTCTGTCTCGCTCGCTCGATTGAATGTTTATTAACAGACGAGTGCGTATATGAGTCGTATAGTATCAAAGGCGGCAAAGTAGGGCGAACCAAATATTTGGCAAATTAAAAAAAAACTGTTTAGTCTCGTCTTTAAGGGAGGATTTTTATAATTGACATTCATCATAACTACAAATCGTAGTGAAATGTCAATATTTTATCCTCCCTTAAAGACGAGACTAAACAGTTTTTTTTGATTTGCCAAATATTTGGTTCGCCCTACTTTGTTACATATTTGACATTATGTGATGGAAGTTGACCTCAACACATGTTTGCAAGTTTGATGTCAACTTTCAATTGGACGACACTGTATGAAATAAAACAGGGAGAAAAAAGCAGCCCTTGCTGAGTTTCTTGCCGGTTCTTCTCAGTACAAGGTCTCCCGCCGTAGTTTTGCGAACCGATGGCGTAGCTTTTCGACATTCACAAGTGCTTGTAACAGCCTAGACTGAATAAACGATATTGAATTTTGAATTTTTTTGAATTTTGCCGCCTTTGATACTATACGACTCATATGAGAGTGGCCTATGTAGATGAATCTGAGCATATTATATTTAATACTAGTATGAGCGTACCGTATCTTCCCTTTTTGATTTAATCTAAGTGTGTTAGTTTACGAGCGTTTTCGCAAGCTGCGGGACCGCAGAAAGCTGCGGTCGCGTGAGCTTCGAAATAAAACAGCTCTGCGGCACCGTGTGTTCTTAGCCCTCTTTCGAATTTTTATCGCTAAAACACTAGTGGCAGTTTATGATACAAGTGCATTGTATTTAAAGAAAATATGACTAGAAAAAATTCCACGCGGACCAGGCAGCAGACGGGACTCGAGCCCGCACCCTTCGTTTTCGAATGCATTAACCATTATGCTACCGCGGCCCTGACGGCCGTGTCGAATTCTTCCTAGCCTTTCTTAAGCTGCAAGGTAGCGCCATCTCTCCGCATTGTAGGTATCCCACAATGTCAAATGAATACCTTTACAAGTATCAAACATTTGAAACAAGAAATAGCGTCGAATAGCATCGTATTTACCTGGTTGAGCGCCTCCATGCGAGCCTTGAGCTGCTCCTCCATCTCGGGCAGCGAGGACATCTGCGCCAACTTCTGCGTGGACAGCTCCAGCTTCTCCTCGATGGCGGCGATCTTCTCCTCTTGCAGCTGCGCCATATATACAGTGTCATGCGGTGGGAATGGTGTGGTATACGCTACGTGCTTCAGGTTTCCATGTTCAGACTCAAAGTAACATTCGGATTTTGCGTTTTGATTGTGTAAATTTAGGTATTACATAATTTAACGTAAGAAGGAGATAGAAAGCTTCTCTTGAGTTTGTTTCGCCGGTTCTTCTCAGAAAGGTCTCCCAATTTTGGAACCGGTGGTAGTTTACGGTAGTTAGGGTCAAATAAATAAACTCAAAATTACAAAAAAGAATTTTAAATAGAATACTTTATTAATTTAATTAAATAATAAATTCATACATAGACAATAAAACTTTAAAAATCGAACAACGAAATAACCGAACGCTCAATAAAAGTCTTTCGAAGGTAGCTCGACAAATTAAATAAAAGTTTGATTCTGACGACGTAGCCTGTAAAGGCTACGAAACGTCAATAAATAAATAAAGTTTTCGTGCATTAACCCGTAAAAACTAGTTTTATTTAGGTATTATTTTGAATGCGCGGCCATTCGTAGACGGGTTCCGCGACCACACCCGCCCCTCTCGGCACGCACTAGGGGGACCGCGGTCCTCATAGTGCGTGTCGGGTGACGGTGCAGGAGTATTGTCTGGTTTTTAGTGGCCCTGTTCAGGGCGTAGGTAGGGCCCTGTTCACATCAGCGAGCTCCAGGGCTGGCTGAAGAGGACAGGGAGGAGTCCCACATACATTCTCGCTCCCCCAGTGGTTGAAGGATGCGTAAGGCATTTTCCAGACACAAAAAAAAAGGTATTATTTTGGAAAGAAGTTCCTTATTCACGATACGGGCGCTTGGCGGAGTGTAAGATGTTTCCGTTATGACCGTTAGGTGTTTCGTAGCGTATTGTATACGCTAATTGAGAGAATTTAATATACTACCATATTTAAGCATCGTTGTGCTTAAAATATGAAATTATTGTTTAAAAAACTTTAAATAAAAGTTATTATAATATATATTGATATGAAGATTTTTATAGTACATTACCCTCGTAAGTCCCCGCGTACTTGTATAAGTACAAATAAAGGATAGTAGTTCAGACCTGATATTTTAACTACATATATGGAGTGCGTACCTAATGTACTTGCCGAAGTACAAATTTTTAATTCCCCATTTACCGAGTAGTTTTTTTACAACGGCAACACAGACACAGTCATTCTCATTCTATATTCCATGGTCGATTCCGCCCTGTTTGACAGGTAACGTCAACTGTCAGTGTCACTTTTTCGCAAGATGGCTACGCGGTCGGGACGACGACCAGCACAAGGTAAGATTATCTGATTATGTCCAATAAATCATTTGTTTTTTCTTTTGTTTTATAAGTGAAATAGTGTATATAAATTCTGAATATTTTAAAATGAACAAAATTTAAAAGATGACTGTAATTTTAAGGAGATTTCTGATCGGTCAAAATAATATGTACTTGACGTGGTACGTTAGGAGTTTGTTACGTAAATAAGTGTTTATAATTTATACTTGTGGCGGTACGTTCGGTCTATATTACAAGTTCATCTCCTAGAAAATTAAAATATAAACTATTTTTTGGCGTGTTCAGGTGACAAAAATGTTAAATTATAGCCTATTACCATTTATTTTGATCTCTTATACTTGACTGTGATTTCGCTATATAATGTCATATAAGTAGTACGTAAGGTAGATTGTTGGCAAATTTCAGCGTTTTCTATTTTATTTAATAAGTAGGTATAGTGATGCCGTTATTCTCTGATTAAGATAAGATAATGGCCTAAATTGTCATTGAGGCTGAGTTTTTAATTGTTTTTTTTAATGAAGATTGTTTACGTTGTAATAAAATGATGTTAAGAAGAAAAATATGTTTTGTTTCGATACTAAATTTTTTTTTTACATTGTTTTATTACACGGTGTAAAAACCTAATGTACTTACACAAGTACAAAATATTTTCAATAAATTTCTTCTTAAAAAGGTGCTTTACATAATAAACATACCGTAAAAAATACAGACAACAAGACCTCACTTCAAAAATTACGTATAAGCGTTTTTTCTTGTCTCGGTCTGAAGTACTATTCTTGATTTGTACTTGCTATAGTACATCCGTCAGATATGACTACTGCTGTTAAAAAAACACGGGACTTACGAGGTTACTGCAGCGGCTAGCAAAAGGTGTATTGAGGGACGTAAACATACGTAAGTCCATCAATGCCTAGTAGTGGTCAAAGCTTGTATAGTGGTTTTCTCAAACAATGCGCGGGAATTATGACTAAGTAGTGCCTAGGCAGAATTATTAAATTAAAATAAAACTTTACAATTTCAAAATCAATAATGACGAACAACAACACTCATTTATTTGTTTTTCTTTTCAGTAAACAGCTCTCTATTTGCTTTCATTTTTTTTTAAACATTTCGAAATTTAAATATGTATAACTTTTCTATGTAACCTCCTTGGTTAAAAAAAATAAAAAAAAAATCGCAGTAAAAGATCGTTCCATTTTTAAATTACACGATATAATATATGAGTTTACTAGGTATGTAATTTATTTGGCCGCTAAACACGACAATGTTGAAATTTCCAAGCATGTTTGAAAAAATAATATATTGGAATCAATTTAATTTACTTTATCAGATTACTACAGCAAATTAAAAAAAAAGTATTTCCCTTTGTAAACATTCCGAACTCTTAAAACATATTGTCACAAACGCTCTCGAAACGTAACCGCGAAAGTGCTAGAGATCGAATGTGCCAGAGCACCGCGGGTCGCGATAGAGGTCGAGTAATGCGGCTCATTCTAAAATGAGCCTTATGCAGTGCGGCGTAAGGGAGAAAGTGCAACGACATCTGCACTTGTTTACAAGTTATGCGCGTTACCTGCGTAGGTATAAGTAGGTACTTTGTACTCGCGGGTGCTAGATAATTCTCAATTTAACAGGTACTTTCTAGAATGCGTCGATCAGCGTATACAAGCGCGATTGGCGCCGCGCAGAGACAGTTGAGTTTCAACAGCGATTTCGGAGCGAATCCAAAGGCGATCAAAGTGCAACAAAAGTGTTCAAGTGAGTTTATTTAGAGACTTGTATAGTGAAATACAGTGTTTAGTGAGTGTTTTGTAATTAACATTGTGTGATAATTGTGTTGTTTATTGTTATTGTAACAATATATATTTAAAGTAGCATCTGAACATGGAACTCTGTCTTATGAAACTTAAGTTTCTGTCGAAATGTATTATGTTAATGAAAATATCGAATCGTTGTTAAACTCACAACACACAACCAGTTGTTAATAAAACTAAGACACTAAATTGTTTAGTAAAACCGCTTTGTGCAACCTTTTACCTTAAGCCAAAGTCGATAAAGTAACCTTTACAGTAATGGTATGTGTCATTTTTGCAGACTGTGTTCGGACAAAAAATACCTTATTTATTCTTTAAACTATTATCAATACTTTATTTTTAAATATGCGCTTTCAAATCCGTACCAGAGTATTGTCACGGTAATATTATCTATACAGTATTGTGACTCCGCCCTGTCCTTGAAAATAAATGCCTACACCGAACGCTGTGTTGGCACGCGGTAGGGCCGCCCGCCTACAGTATTTTATGTAGTTTTGTTTTTAACGCGAGTGTAGGTAGATTACTTGTTTGTCTCTCTTTTCATCCTAACCACTTATTTATATATTATTCCAGATATTTTGCCCGATGGAGAAACCGAAATACTACCTAAATATTAGAAACAAATAACGTACTAGTAGATAGGTATATAAAAAATATTCTATAAAGGTAAGACACCTTTCCAATATTTCAGGTAATTTAAAAAATGATATCTCTGGGTGTGTTATTGGAAGAGTTCAAGCAATCAAAAACAGCAATTGTGCTGTTGTACGATATTGATCGTCGTTTGTTCTTTTCCATACTAAATTATGTAGGTATCTACTTAATTAAATCAAATATTTACAATACAAAACGCATGTTTAAGCACGGCTAACTGCATAAAAAACAATTCTGACCGTTCGGTCGTCGTTGCGGCGCGGCGGCGCATTCGCGACTGGGTGCCCGCCGAGAGCACATCGAACTCGAGTGGCGTAGGTATGACTCGCTTTCCGACCGTTTGTATGAAGATAGAATACTGTATGATATTATTACCGTGGTATTGTCATAGCGGAGTTTGAGGAAAGAGTGTATAAAGTACCTTTCTGTTTAAGCTATGATACATGTAACTTTGCTGTAATATAGGTTATGGATTTCCTTTGGCTTAACAGGGTTGCAGTGAGCTGCATGGTAATGGTATGTAACGCTAAAATGAGCGGTCTAGCGAAATTGACCTCTAAGCGTGTGTCATTAGGGTATAGTTTACCTTGAGCTGTGCCTGCTTGTGTTGTAGCTCTTGCTCCAGTTTCTCGTTGAGGTCGTGCAGGGAGGTGGACTCGCGCTGTGCGTTCAGGTACCTCTTCTCCAGGGTCGCTATTCTCTCCTCCTGATGAATACGAAAATAATAAAATAAGGTCATACATTGCATAATAATACTAATCTATATCTTTATATACATATAAAACTCAAAGATGACTGATTGACTGACATAGTGATCTATCAACGCACAGCCCAAACCACTGGACGGATCGGGCTGAAATTTGGCATGGGGCCGTTCAAAGTATTACGTAAGCAGATTTATTACAATTATTTACGCTAAAGCTCTTACCCCTCCCCCCCATCCTTACGTAAACATTGGTACCTATATGCATTTTTCCTTTAATGTACTCTGTTTTTTTTATTGATTCATGAGCTTTCATGAGCTTCATGAGCAGTAGTACTTAATCGATGATGCTGACGTAATCACCATCTCTGCCCCCCACCCCCCCATGTCATCAAAAATAAGCAAAGCAAAGACCCCCCTGCCCCCCTATAGTGCTTACGTAATACTTGAACAGCCCCCATGCAGGTAGATGTTATGACGTAGGCATCCGCTAAGAAAGGATTTTGATCAATTCTACCCCAAAGGGGATAAAATAGGGAATGAAAGTTTGTGCGAAACTTTGTCAATGTTAAACCGATCGGGCTGAGACTTTGCATGCAGGTATAAGAAGAATCATAGATGAATGTCATTGTGTAAAATACAAGCCTGAAAACAAAAACTGTAGTCACCTACTTTAGCTCTACACCGAAGCGAAGCGAGGGCGGGCCGCTAGTTTTATTATAATCGCTCCAGCCGTTTAGACGTGAAGTAGTAACAAACATAAACACTCACAAACTTTCGCCTTTATAATTAGTGTGATGTGTGTTTTCAATGAAAGAGTTTCTCTTTAATTTTCTCGCAGGTACGTTTAAAGCGCTTTGCCTCTCCGCCTCCCTTGAAAGAAAGTGCTCGCTCGGGTGTATTGCCTCTCCGCCTCCCTTGAAAGAAAGTGCTCGCTCGGGTGTATTAAGACCCTTGCTTTGTGTATTTTGCCTCTGGCCTCAAACTACACCCTCGTTAGTAATCGGTCACTTTCTCCCCTCAGTGAACAATGTACTATTACTGGTCCTCCTTTTGCATGCATTCTCCTATATTCAATGAAGGTTTTCTGAAATGACGGCCACCAGGTGGCAGTACTGAGACGGAAATCGCCTATGTTCTCATAGTCTATGGATCTGGTCTATGGAGTTCGCGCCAAAAACTTCATACAAAATACCTCACGTCACGGTGGCTCCAACTGGTGACGTAATTTTTTACAAACACCCTCATTAATATCATCGGCGCGGCTGATCCACAGGTTCAAAGTCGCTCAACGCGCTATGGAAAGGGCTATGCTCGGCGTTTCTCTGAAAGATCGCATCAGAAATGAGGTAATCCGACAGAGAACCAGAGTTATCGACATAGCCCACCGGATTAGCAAGTTGAAGTGGCAGTGGGCTGGCCATATTTGCCGAAGAACCGATAACCGTTGGGGTAGACGAGTTCTGGAGTGGAGACCGCGTCTAGGCAAACGTAGTGTAGGACGTCCTCAGGCGCGATGGAGTGACGATTTGCGCAAGGTGGCTGGCAGGAGCTGGATGCGAGTAGCCCAAGATCGATCTGAGTGGCGTGCAATTGGAGAGGCCTATGTCCAGCAGTGGACTATGATAGGCTGTTGATGATGATGATTGATGATTACCTGGTCCTCCTTCTGCGCGACGTTTTCCCTGAGATCTCGCTGAAGCTTGGCACATTCATCTTGCTTCTTGGCGAGCTCCTTCTCCCCCTTGTTGAGTCGTTCTTCCAGTTCAGACACCTTATTGTTCAGCTCCGCCACGCGCCGTTGCCACGAGCTTAACTCCGCTGACTGTACACCAAACGTAAAATTTTGATTTCAACATATACTCTCGCGCTCAGAAACGTCAAACAACTCTTCAGTTTCTTTTGTGATATTGCTGTCAAAAATAGAAGCATTAAATTAGTTCGACGTTATAATTTTTATTTTTTTAAAGCATGTAACTGCTTGATATTTAAATCTAAAGAAAATATAACTAGAAAAAATTCCAACTATAATTGCTATTTCTTCTTTCAAATGTTTAATATTTGTAAAAGTATTCATTTGACATTATGGGTTACCTATAATGCGAAGAAATGGTGCTGCCTTGTAGCTTAAGAATGGTTAGAGGAATTTCGACGCGGTCCGTGGTAGCATAATTGGTCAGTGCATTCGCCCGGATTGCGAAGGGTGCGGGTTCGAGTCCCGTCTGCTGCCTGGTCCACGTGGAATTTTTTCTAGTTATATTTTCTTTAGTTCGACGTTTCTGAGTAGATATGTTTGACAATGTAACACGTCATCAAGCGATCTGATAATAGGCAGCTTGTTAACTAACTTCAAGAAAGTACTATGACATAGAGTTGGTACAACCATAATCATAAAATAAAAAATATTTTTAAAGTATAAACTTTTGTCTTTCTTGCCGCTAGTTATAGATACTGGCATGCTGGCACTTAACATGGTTTTTCATGTTTGCCATTTAAAATTTGACAACAGTCTTCCCTTTTCCCTATAGAGTTTATTCAGGAAACACTGCTGTCAAAATTATCAGTAGCAAATACGAGCAGCCACTTAAGTTCTAAGTCAGCAAAAGAAAAACAAAAAAAAATGTTTCTTAGGTTTTCACGCACATCACTCATTAAATAAAATTAGGTTTTTTCTTGTCAGTATTCTGACGAAGCAGACCTGAAAAGGCTGCGAAACGTCAATAAATAAATAAAGTTTCGTGCATTAACCCGTTAAAAACTAGTTTTATAAAATTATGTATGTCAAGACCATAAAAATATATTATCTTTAATAGTTTGGTATTTATACGTTTATTTATTTGTTACGGTATCAGGCTAGTGGTTGTAGCAACTCTATATCGGTATTCAACCATTTCTTAGTAAAATTTGGGCAAATAATCCAATCACTGCTTTTCATTTCATTTTTAGATTGATTTTAATGTCACTATGATCATCAGCGCAGACAAGCTTTGTACGATTGCTACAGAAGCATTTTACAATTAGGCCTGATCTTTAACTAGTGTTTTAGCACCGATGTTCATCGTGACACTCGAGTCCGCCTTAATGGTTTAATGTGATCACAAATTCAAGCCAGTGAGTAAATGAGGTAATAACCCAAACTTTAATTTAAATCAATAGTGATTGATCAGCTCAATATGTTATCGAGCATTATGAATCTTATTGGCTAAAGAACAGAGTTGTTAATGATTAGAAAGGATGTTATATATGACGATGTAGTAACGTAGCAACTTTAGTATAATAATTGGAGATAAGTATAGGAATTGGAGGGGAACCTCAGGAAGTCAATGATATATACACACATCAAAAGTGTCTAGGGATCAAGCATTTTTATGCGGATTTCTTGAGATTGAGATGTGGCTTTGTAATAAATTTATGATTTTATAAATTTATATGGATCCTTTTTGGTGCATTTCATAATTTGAATCAGGAACTGTGAATCAAATTCGAGTAAAAGATGAAAATCAGCTGTCAATATTTTCCCTATAAAAACATACAACGCATTGAAGACATTATTAGTGCTACTGTTTCCCTACTACTGATTAAAACCAACGTTATTATGGAGCGGCGACGTCATTTAAGCAGGGAAGAAATGCTCAGAGCCGTGGGAATGATAGAAGCTGGTTCCCGGCAACGTACTGTGGCTTTAGCTCTGAATACAAGTCAGAGTGTTATCAGTCGACTTTGGACACGATACCGAAGCACTGGTACCGTGGCTGAGCGCCATGGAGGACGGTATCGCTGCACCACACGGAGACAAGACCGATACATTCAAATCTTAACTCGAAGAGCTCCAACAATAACCGCCATGATGTTAGCCGTGAGGCTTCATCACTCTTCAGGGAACTTAATTAGCGACCAAACAGTCAGAAACCGCTTGCATGAAGTGAACCTTCATTCCCGAAGACCGCTACGGGTACCACCTATAGCAATGCACAATCGTAGGATTCGATATCAATGGGCTCTTGAACACAGAAATTGGGCAGAAGAACAATGGCGTTTCGTGTGCTTTTCTGATGAGTCTTGTTTTGGTATGAGACCGGATACAAGACGTATACGACACTGGAGAACCCCTGGACGCCAACAGCGATTAAAATCCTGCCAGGAAGTCCATCCTTATAGTGGTGGAACCATCATGGTATGGGCGGGTATTTGGATCGGCGGAAGAACTGAGTTGATTTGGATCAGAGGCAACCTCAACGCTCAAATTTATGCTGAGACGATTGTATCAGACGTCATCGTTCCTCTACAAGTGCAAATCGGTCCCTTATTTCAGTTAATGCATGATAATGCACGACCGCACACCGCAAGAGTTGTAAGACAGACTCTCGCCGCAGCTAACATCAATGTCCTGCCCTGGCCTGCTCAGTCGCCAGACTTGAACCCGATTGAGCATGCATGGGATATGCTACAGAGAAGAGCTCTGCCGAATATGGAGGGTATCCAGTCGCAAGAAGACCTTTTTTTGTTGTTGCAACGAACATGGGCGGCCATTCCACAGCGTGATTTGGATGAACTCATTTTGAGTATGCCAAACCGATGTTCTTGTGTTGTTAGTGTTCGCGGTAGAAATACGGATTATTAATTGTTTAAGTTACCCAATAAAATTTTAGAGAAAACTGTTATTTCAGTCTTTTTTTCGAACTTTTGTGTTAGTGGTTCAAATGTCAAAAATCCCTTTATTAGGAAAATGGCAAATTTCTTTATTAATGCAAAGGTGACTTGGTTTATCGTTACTGTGACAAACGAAAACACTTTATTTGATGAATCCTTAAAGAAAATTTTAATTAATATCAATCAGGAGAAAAGTTATTGCAAAAATATATGTTGATCCCTAGACACTTTTGATGTGTGTATTTACGCGCGACTTTTGTATTTTTCCACTTTTTATTATAAAATCAACTTTCTATTAATTTATATTTATGTTGAAAAGTGATCGGTTTCTGAAAATATAAGCGCTAGTGTATCAGTTGGTCGACTGTGTCTCACTTTACTTATCATTGAAGGAATCATTAATGTGGAAGAAAAATATTTTTGATAATTCTCAAAATTTGAATTTGCGATATTTTTAAAGTACTTACATAATTGGTGTTCAAGAACTTTGTCGAATTCATTTATTTCATTTACATTACACTCGCAAGCAATAAATGCGGTCACCTCTACTACAGAGACTGGCTGAGCTTCTGATTTTTACCACTTTCAGTTCATAAATATTTTTGTCCAATTTTTTATGGTAATAGGTATAAATAATAATAAGTGGTAATATATAAATAAATAATGGATGCAAAATTAAATTTTGACCACCATAGTAACATTCGTAACATTAAATATTGTAGTTTCAAATCACAGACTACAATAATTACAAGTTTATTTAATATACCAATTTTTTATTCCTATTTTAAACTTACCTTTAATAGTGTTTTGTATACATATTTATACTTATATGGATATACATATTAACTTCATACGGGTGTTTAATGAATGTTAGTGATTTGCCTAATGACAGTGTTAGTAAGTACTTGTGATGTGGTGTCTCATCTATGGCAGAAATAGGGTGGCTAATTAACTAATCCTATAATATGATTACGGCCAATTACAAAAGAGGGAACAACTTGAAAGCAAAATAAGGGAACCATTGAATATAACATGTTTACAATTCCTTGAGTATTTTTGTTGCCTTTAATATTATGGCGACCTATTATTTTGCTCGTAAGTGTAGATCATTGTCTATGTATTTTTATTCAAGCCGACACTTGACTATTTGTGTTTGCTATTTGTAAACTTGACAAAAGTCTGTTTTTATCATGCGTTATGAGTAATGAAAAGGAAAGACTGATTTCAAGCTTACAAATAGCAAACACGAATATCCAAGTGAAGCACCGGCATCATATAATATACATAATGTAAAATTGGCCTAGGTATAATTAAATCAGTAGGAAGCGAATAAGTCATGCCTCTAATTATATCATATTCTAAACTTGCAGACAGCAACAATATTGGTTCTTTATCACGATCAATAAAATTTTAAAAGTATAATTATAATTAGAAAGTTTTACGATTTAAAAGGTTCTTTTAAAGACCACGTCTGTGGATATAATTAGATATTTATAGTGCCTTTTCAACAAAACTGTAAGATTATGCTACCGCGGTCCTAATAGTCCGTGTCGAATTCCCTCTAGTATTTCTTACGCTGCATTGTAGCGCCATCTCTTCGTATTGTAGGTAACCCACAATAACTCGTCCGCGTGGATTTTTTTCTAGTAAATTTTTCTTTAAATAAAAACATCTAGCAGTTAAATGCTTAAAAACATCTTTATTTAACTAAAACTGTAAGATTTTTATATTTAAACAACAAATCACTTCTCTGAGTAATCACGTATAATTAATTATTGCTGCTGCAATTTAAAATGAACACTGAAATAAAGACAAGAAAAAATAATTTAGAATGCTCAATAAATTTAGAATATGATTGATGTTTTTATTTCAATGCCTTGACTTGTCTTTACTTATATACGATACGATATGTAGATATCATGTTTTTATCAAATGTTTGCAACGATGCACATGCTAAATACTGTTCTATTTTAAGGAAATGCAATGACAGCATATAACAAATAATATTTAAAAAATCATAAGCTCAGAAGGTAGCTTTTAATATATATTGACGGCAATAAAAAATATAATAATGGAGTATTCGTTTTTAATGTCAAGCAAAGCAAGCTTTGCATTTTATCGATAGTTGCATGTTAATTCAGTTATTCACGCATAGGTGGCGACACAGTCGTGCTTTGGCAACCAACCTACTAGCTGGGGTCGGTATGAATTGTGTACTTTGAAGGCACAAAAAGCAACTTGGATTTAGATTTTTATTTAATTACATTGTCATTGATATATCAATATTAATAGTGAGCAGGTCAGATTTTCAATACTTCTTTTCGATTTTTAGTTTCCTTCCTTTTAACGACACCAATCAAAGTACACAAAATGCATGTATATATTTTTTGATATAGATAGATATGAATATAATGCTATATGCATGAGTTGTTTGTCGAGCTGACCTGCTTGGCGATAGTGTTATGGAGCTCAGTGATTCTCTTGCTGGACTCTGATTCGCCGTTTACATTATTTTGATCCTGTGTCGACCGTCAAAAGTAAAATAAATACAAAAAAAGAAAAACACTAAGAGTATTCGTAAACACAGATGGCGCCACCAGTCTGAGAACTTAACCGTATATTGTGAAAAATAAAAATATGCACGCAGATTATGTTATATTCAGTTAACAGTGGTTAGTTTGTTTACTCAAAAGTATTTCTAACGAAATTTAGCTAGCTTAATATTAAGCTGTTCTATTAAAGTCACAAAAAACATAACTGGCGGCGCCATTTGCTGAACAAGCAAAATCTCAAAAAACAATAGCCTTGCTCAATTTAAAAGTTCTTTGTTATTTAATTAAATTGAGCAAAATTATTAAATTTCTATCACATCATTGTTCTAACAAAATTAGCCAAAACGCACACCCTTATTCATAAATTTGAAAAAAGTCAGAATTATAGTAAATTGTCCAAGATATTAAAAAATGAGTTTTAATATTCTTATTTCTTTTATGAATACGGGAGCAAGCATCTAATTGTAACTGTTTGTTCTGTATATTTTTGTAAGTCCTTATTGTTTTCATTTTCGGTTCTGAGTGTGAGCGAAGTTCTATAAATATTTGCCATTTCCATAGAGAGGGGGTGTTAAGAACGTATGTTTTGTTTGATATAGGTAATTAGCGTAAACATAAACAAATTTTAAAATAAATAGCTATCACTAAAGTTTAATTATTCTCTTTCAGAAAGAAGTATGTACAATGAGTTATCTAAAACTGTATCTTTACCACAACGATATTAAATACCCTAGATACACCAACACGAACAAAATCGTGCCCGAAACCTGTCCAAAAGGTACATTGAACGATCCGCGGAGCTCCGTAAGATGATCGCGTAGTCAAAATCATTATAAGGCATTATTTAAATATTGAAAGTAACCTTTAATACATACTGTATAAGGTCTTACATAAAATGCATGCGTCAAGGACTTCTCACAGTTCGAAATGCAAGCTCGTAAAATTTTACGACTTATTGCGCGCAAGAATTTAGACCTTAGTTCTTTGACTCTACGCGCAATTCTGAACGCGCTGTTAGCAATATAGAAGGCACGGACCGTGAGGAAAAGAGACGGCTATATGGCGACGTATAACCGACCATGCATTTGAATATCACAAATATTTTATATTAAATCACTTTATAGTAAGTATAACATTTACTTCAAATGCGTTAAATTAACAAACGTTGACTAGATAGACCTTTTGAAAAAGCAACACTTTTCGTACTCTTAATATAATTTTCGCATTTTTTCGCGGAGCTCTGTGGCATCATGACTTTGTAACGGTCCGCGCGTGACTGTGAACCAAGAAGTGCTTGAGTGGAATTCAAGCACTTCTTTTGGGGACATTTTTAGCGCTCGTGGTGTATCTAGGGTATTTAATATCGTTGCTTTACCATCACAAAATCGTTTAAAATCTTCGTTTGGAATTAATACAAAAAAAAACTTGTTTTTAAATTAAAATTTGAGCTATGTGTTTGTGCGAGTGTCACCTTGTGTTGATTTTGTTCGCCGTTTTGTACGAGCGAGGCGCCATTTTCTCTGGGCTTGGTGTATGTGTTTGCGTATGAGTATTTGTGTAGTGTGTTCGTGTGTTTGTGCGAGTGTCACCTTGTGTTGCGTTTGTTCGCCGTTTTGTTCGGGCGAGGCGCCGGGTGCAGTGCCGTTCTCCTTGGGCTTGTCGCCTTCCTGACCGCTCGACGCTTTGTACTGCTGCAACTGCGAAACAGTTACCATTATCATCAACCTTATGTTCATGTAAATAGAGGAGCTCGGTGGCGCAGGTGGTTAGCGCGTTCGTCTGCGATCGTTGAAGTTAAGCAACTTTCGCAGCGGTCAGTCATTGGATGGGTGACCAAAAATTACTATCTCGAGCTCCTCCGTGCTTCGGAAGGCACGTTAAGCCGTTGGTCCCGGCTGCATCTGCAGTCGTTAGCACCCACCAATCCGCACTGAGCCCGTGTGGTGGATCATGGCCCTAACTCCCTATTCCATCCATAGGGTAGGCATGTGCCCCAGCAGTGGGGACATTAATAGGCTGCTGATGATGATGATCCGCAATTTGCGCCATCGTGCTTCTCATACGTTTGTCATTAATGTGGAGTCACTGTGTGTCACTTTATTATGGATAATTTCTCAATTGTACTTATATTGTTGTTGGATACTTGGCCTACGTTGTCACCGTCTAAATGTGGCCACAATAGGGATGATGACTAATTTCTTTTCTTCGTTTATCAGGTAGATTATCAAAAAGTATTGGACACGTATTTTTTCTTTTTTCACATAATATAAACATTGCAGAGATATATTGATTTGAAAAGTCGCATGACGTCACGTTTGAATAGACTTTTAAGTGAAAATTCCCTAAAAAGTGACGTCACGAGCCCCTTCTCCCAAATTTTGACGCGCTATAACTTTGTCATTTTTTGGTTGATTGCCCAAAGAAAAAATACGTGTCCATTATTTTTTGATCATCTAACTGACGGACTAAATAGAATTTCGTTTACTGTGCCCCGTCATCACCCCTATTCCAACACTAACAAGGAAATTTGGTGATTCATTTGTTTGGCGCACTATCCGTAAATATCTATATTTCTCTATTTAAACAAACAAGTTATTTTTAATACATTACACTGTGTGTGTATGAGTGATTGTGTTTATGTGGTGTGTGTGTGTTATAGAGAGATGTGTGTGCATGTGCGTGTTTTACTTGATCAATAACTCCAAAGTGTCATATTCCAAGTCAAGTAACCACCCGCTCAATTTGATTTTACATTGCTATAATAATAATAATAATCTTTATTTGTCTATTTAAAGAAAAACAATTTATTTATAATACATTACACTGTATGTGTGTGTGTGTGTATCAGTGAGTGTGTATATGTGGTGTGTGTGTGATAGAGAGATGTGTGTGCATTGTGCGTGTTTTACTTGATCAATAACTCCACAGTGTCATATTCCAAGTCAAGTAAGCACCCACTCAACCTTTTTTTATGTATTTCTATATATAATAACTACAATACATTATTAAAAGGAGTCCCTTTAGGCAAGGTTCCAAAGATACTGGCAGTGTTCCCCCTTTGAATAGCTAGACTAATTCTTTGTCCAAGGTAGCTGCCAGCTCTTCGGTCTCCCGTGATGTCGACCAACCTTTTTGCTATTTCCTTAAAAAGCCTCACAGCGCTAGGACCCCACGGACCAAGGGTCTCGACACCGAATGGGACAAAATAATATTCGGAGCTGTATTTACATGCCTTAGCTTTTTCAGCCGCTTCGCAAGCCGCACCAGCTCTGATGTTGGTTCCATGTAGATGGGAAGGGGCCAGCGTGTCTGAACAGGTTGCATACTAGCACCCGGCCCATCTTCCATGGAATCAAGCTCATACCGTCCGGTCTCTTGCCATCGTCTCTTGCAAAATTTGATTTTACATTCATGCTTTCGTTGCTTCTTCACGCCTCTTTTAAAGGCAATTTAACAACAACAGGCATACATACAGGTAAGGTGAGGATGGCTGGTGTGGCAGGTCTGGACTTCAGCGTCACTTAACATCAGGTGAGACGGAGTCATTTGTAGGACCTAACTATAATAATAAATATTTTGGATAGTAGATCTCTGATATACTTACTTCTTCTTTGGTTAAAGCTAATTCTTCTTCTAAGGCCGTATTTCTTTCTAATGCCACTCGTAATCGCTCCCTGACCTGTTGAGATATATTTACATAATATTAGTCGAAAAGAAAATGGTGAGGTTTTATTAAACTAAAATGCAAGTGAAACTTTTAAAATCATTAATAATAATAATATAATAAAAATAATAAATTTCTTTCCAATATCAATTATCACATATAAAATGAATTAAATATAAGAAAAACAAAAGGTAAAGAAAAAGTAAAAATCGAGTGTGCTTTTAACTATACGACTGAAGTGTAATAATATACGAGTAAAATATATATAAATCTATATTTATTTGTGTATAATATATACATGTATGTAGATATACATATTTCGTTCACTAGCTGTAAGAGAAAGAAAAAAAGAAATTGTGCGCGCGCACTGCTTTCTCTTGCTTATATCCCCCACTTAACCCCGTTCGCCTCGCCCGATCACACTTTCGTAACGCGTAACGCATTCGCCAGCTTACTCCCCAAGTCAGGCGTGCGTAAAGAAGTTTGCTTATATCCCCCACCGAACTCCCGTTCACCTCGCCCGATCACACTTTTCGTAATACAATAAATTTCGTTGGCTGGGATTCTCACCGATGCCGACAGCGTAGGAGGCGAGCTCAATACCACCGAACCACCAATAATAGATGATAAAGGCTGAATTTTTATAACAATTAAATTTTTTAATGCAGCCTGCTAAAGATTAACGGGAAAAAATAAGTCGTTCATCACCGTTATTTGATTAGTAACAAAGAAGATAAATAAATAAATATTTCCAACACTCACACCAATTAGCCTAGCCACAAAGTAAGCACTGTAAGGCTTGTGTTATGGGATGCTAGGGTAACGGATAGAATACATATACTGTACATATATAAGTATATTTATATAGAAAAACATATTAAACATCCATGACTGGAGTACAAATGCTCGTATTCATCACACAAACATCTGCCCCCACCGGGACTCGAACCCGGGACCTCTCGAGACGGCGACACCATGAAACCCGGCGTACAAACCACTCGGCCACGGAGGTCGTCGAAAATGGAGGAGATAGAAAATGAAATGCAAACTTAACCAAGTGGTTTTTTGTTATTTACCTTCTCGTCCAGGGCTTTGTGGTGTTCGAAGAGGCTTTTGAGTGCCTTGAGCACCTCCACCTCGGAGGAGACGCCGGATTGCGCTGCCGCCTGCCGCTTCACCACCGTCATGCGCAGCGACCGCTCGTGCCGCGACACCAGGCATTCTAGATGCTCCAGCAGTAACTGGAATTATAGAAAAGTAGCTTAGATTTTTGAAGTTATACTTTAGCGACCAACTTCATGCGTTACTTTTGTGTTTACCGCGCATTAAGAAAATCTACCAACAAAATAGAAATAGAATCTCTATTTAGTGGGTGCTAACGACTGCATTGTGAAGGCCTATCAAAAGTATTTATTAATCTGGAACAACGGAACCAAAGCGCGATTCAGGAGACTACAGCGCCATCTCTTGACCATTGGTGTAGTAGAACCAAAAACCACATCTTTATTTTTTGTAATAAAGTAACAGTTATAGGTATTCATATTTATAATATTTATCCACATGTTTCTAGTTTGTATATTCGGAATACGTGTTTGAGTTTCATACAAGTGCAAATCACGTATGTTCTAATAAATTATATTCAGTAGCGATTTTAATTGAATATTTTGATTATTTATTTATTTTTTCAAATTAAAACTGAACTTTATTGACTGTGTCCTTTTCCAGACTTTTTATTAATTTATTGTAATTAATTATTTGCATGCAATTAAAAACTAATTTTAAACGATGCCAAAGAAGGATAACTTCTCACGCGCCTACATAAGTACACGCACCCATTTTTTTTCATGTTTAAAGGACGGCAAACAAGCTCATGACCCGCCTCATGGTAAGTAATTTCTAATAGGTGTGTCACAATTTGTGTGTGTTAAATGCTGACGGGTAAATGTTAATTCAAAAATCTCTTATCTATTAGACAAGTCCGTCCGTCTGTCTGTGGTGCTGTTTCAGCGGCCAAACCGTAAGAGATAGATAAAGAGAATATGTATGTTATAAGTTAAGAATAGTCTGATAAGACTACAAACCGGATTTGAGTAACGTAGCACTTCCGGTTTTCGAGAAATCGCGAATTTCAAACGAAACCACACAAAATCTCCGAAGTTCTCAATTAATTTTTTGGTGAACATTTGTTTCACTGGTTTGCTAGTTCAATATTAATCTAAATACTAAAAAAGTAATAATAACAGTAATACTTAATAATTTTTTGGTGATTGATAATAATATATATAGTTATATTATAATAATTTAACAATAATAATTTAATTTAATAATCTTTTTAATTTAAATAATAATATAATCTAATTTAATTCTCTTAATAATAAATTAATCACGTCACGTCGATGTCGTTTCGCGTTACGCGCTTTCTAGGCAGAACTGAAAACCAGTGCTTTGCTCTTAGAGCAAAAGTATCGCTGAGTTTTTGCCTTTTTCTGTCGTTGCGGCACACAGTTACATACCTAGTAATTAATTGTTCTATTTGTTTACTTGAATTTGTGTGCTGTACTGATGGGAATAAATTATTATTTATTGATTATTATCTATCTATCTATGGTAAACGGCCACCATAGCCTCCTTTAGACAGTGCCGTCTTTGACCTATTGGAGGCCCTGGGCATATTAGGACAATGGGGCCCCTATGACCCCCGTTTGGTGATCTAACAGGAACTAGGGACTTTGTATTTGTGATCTGAGGTGGGCCTCTATCGATCGCGAGACCCTGGGCCACTTGCCCAAAGTGCCCACTGGGAAAGACGGGTCTGCCTATAGACACTTGCGATACAAATCACGGGATGCCTGGCAGATGTTTGAAACACTAGTCGGGTTACTACACTCGGAGAATTGCTGGGGACGCGTGCTGTAAAAAATGACATAGGTCCTACCTCGAAGGGCGCTGGCGCCGTACTGATCGTAGGCTTGTTTAAAATATATCCATGTATCGATATATCGATATTTTTTGTACGATATATCGATATTTTGAACCGATATATTTTGATTCGATATATCGATACATCGATACAAAATAACCAATATCGAAATTGTATCAAAAACGATATTTTCTTAATTATTAGCGGCATATCACGATCTAACTTAATTCGTATCTGGAAAAATCATAACTGGATCTCAGATTAATGATATTTAACATATCTATGATCTGTGTATTTAGTATTGTCTATGATTTGTAAATCTGTTTCGCTGGTGAATTCCATTATATTCTGTGGAACTGTGTGACTGTCCAGTCTTGTTTACGAAAGATGGCACCTGAGAGGCCCTGCAATCATTTTCATCATTCGAAAACAGGGTCTACTTTTAGGGAGATAATTTTCGTTCCATTATTATTCTGCGTGTCGTCTTTTGTGAGATACTGTACTGTCATGTAGTGTAGCGGCAATTTGGTACTAATTCTTCCTTTAATTATAATTTGTATTGTTATTATTACTGTGCTAGGCCGACTGTGCTACATATATTTTTAGGAAAATTGGTCCGATATATCGATATTTTTTTCAACTTTCGACATCCCTAACTGATCGGCGAGTAGGTAGTTGAGCACTGGTATAATGCGATTCAAATAAGAATAGGACCGACTGGGCGCCATATTGTATTGTCATAGCTGTCAATTCAAACCAAATAGGTAGAGTGAGCAAAAAAAAGATTTTATTTAATAAAACTTATTTACTAAGATTAAGTGAGAAAAAGCATCAGATTTTTTTAATAACATTTATTTACTAAGATTGAGAAAAGAACCACCGATTTTTAATAATATTTACTTATTAAGACAGAAAAAACATTAATCAGAATCTAGCTCTTCTATTCCGCTCATCTCTGCATTACCGCCGTAGTAGTTATGAATAATCATTCACTAATACTAGGTCAAATACGAACATGCATCCTTTATGTAAACGAAAGTTTGAAATCGAGTTTGTGAACGCAACTTAAACTGACATTTGGTTGACGATTTAGGTTATCAAGCATTCATGGTCAAAGTTCAGTAAGTGAAAAAAAATATTAATTATGAATATTTGTTATTGTTTCTTTACAAAATGTTTGGTTTTTATTCTAGAATTATCGGAGTGCTAAAAAAGGGTTCTAAGTTTTTTTGCAAACCGTACTTTTCAAGCGACATTTGACAAATGGAGGTCATTGGCTTTCCTATTCTTATTTGAATCGCATTATATATATTGCATTTTACGGGCGAGCGTCGCCACGGCAGAAATCGGTTTTATGTGATACTACAAAAATTATCACTCCCGCCGTTGCCTAAAACTAGGGCTGCCATCCGTCCGGGTTTCCCCGGATTTGTCCTAGTTTACGGGGCGTCCGGGGAGCGTCCGGGCGGGGTTTTATTTGTAGTCTGGGTTTAAAAATTTACGGCAACGCATGAGTGGCCCTTGGTGCTGCAAGTATCCATGGGCAGCAGTGACCACTTATTATGAGGTAGACCGCTAGCTCTTTTGCCTAGATCAACATAAAAAAGTTGATTTGTGACATTTTTAACTGTTTTTTTATTGGTCTGTCCGGGTTCTGGGCTTCTAAATCCGGGGTTATCACGCGTCTTATCCTGGTTGCCACATTTTAGAGATGGCCCTACCTAAAACCAGTGGATCCCTGGAACCAAACTCACCGACAGAAACACAACCACCACCAAAAGCTAGTGGTATTTTACTTTGGTCTTCTGTTACACGGAGGTTACTTCCCCAGGCGGGTGCGTTCCGTTCCATTCGAGCGGGAAATTCCGCTATGCCCTAACTATCTTAAAGACTAGTATTTAATTTTGTAAACGCTTGTAATTTTCCCGCCAAGCAAGCCCACAAGCGTATGGCCCGCCTGTTGGCGGCCAGCTTACCAACAGGCGGCCATACTTTTTTGGCTACCTTTTAACATAAAAAAAAGCAGCATGTGTACAGAGTACACATGTCAGAAGTGAAACGAACATTCATAATAATAATTATAAAAATATATATTAACATAATTACATAATTTAAAAACCGTAAAAATTAAACAAAATTATTCCGATAAATTTCGTTAGAATAGGTACGTACATGGTGTGTAAGTTTTTTAACAGGTGGCGCTGTTCATAGATCTATATCGCGGTATAGAAAAGAGTATATTTTATTAAACCTCATATTACAGATATAACACATTTACAGATACAAATTCAAAAAACACAGGGCTAACCAGGAATCTGCCACAGCATTAGCTGATGCGACATTGTATCGCACCGGCGCAGTTATTCTGGCAGAGCCTGTTTAGTGAACAAAAAAGACTTTTATTTTAATTTGAAAGGATGTTTGGACTTAGCATCCTTTGCTTTCAAGTAACAAAAAATAAATGGTATACGGTATGGTATAACCACGGAGGAAAAACAAAGGGATATATTTCCTCCGTGGGTATAACGGCCTTGATTTATACGTACAAAGTTTTGAATGTGTGGTGACTAAAAGTTTATTATATCTACGTCCTTTAAAATTTAAAATCCTAAACACTAAAATCTGACGCTCAAATCGTGACGCGGCCTTGAAAAGTTGCCCTCATCGCACGCAAAGAAGTCTCAACAACTGAGGCACTAAAGCTAACAAGACTCATAAAAAACTACGCCAAACTAAAGCTACTCAGGCCATCAGTTTAATGGACCCCATTCACAGACAGCGGTTGGCTGATAAACATATTGGGAACATAAATAAACTTATTCCGAACTTCGGATACGCCTACGAACCTTTTACTTAAACTGCGTACAAAAAATATTATTTTTCGTTGATAATATATAACATCGTGAAACATCTGTGAATTGTTTGAAGTTGTACTTTTATATGGAATAAGGTTGAAATAAAAAACTTTTTCTTCATAACAAGAAACGTGAAAAATCTATCATAATATAATCTCTTAACTCATATAGTCAGGTTTGTATGCTTAAATTATGTTGGATTACAATATAACTAGCAGCCGCACGCGACATTTACATACACTGTGTATGTATCTGCTTACACCAATTTTATACATAAAAATGTTTTTGGTGGGATTAATTATTATCTGTTATAAAATGTCTTCACAACTAGTTACCTAGTTGTTGAAAGAATGTTTTAAAATAGGAGTAAGCGAGCATTTAATTTTAGTGATAGAAATTCCATCCAACATCCACCACTGTTATTAAAAAATATCAAAACTGTCTTAAGAAAGTGTCTACAACATAC